GCTAACAACCCTTCACAAAGAATCTCCTTTGAATCAAAGCACAAGTAACTCTCCATTGGGATTTGGACATGTGCTCAAAAGCTTTAGTGTTTCACCAGCCTAAAGAGCTCAATCTATTGGTAGTAGCACTAGTAGCACCCCAACACAACTGTTATAGATATGACAAATACCACCACTAGTAGGTATTGGTAACACCCCTACATGACCATTTCAGTTGCAACAAACACCACCTTGGCAGGCAACATACTACCTAGAGGCATGGGGCCATCAGCTGCACTAGATAGCAATAGCTCCTATGCAATATAGATGCTTGAGTTTGCCACCCAATCTATGTTGAGGGGAGCCTAGAGTCATCACATCCCCTTTGCATTCCAGATGCCTGATTTACATCCTCCCAATCTGGCTCAAGAGAAGGACCAACTCTCCAATCAACCACAGCATCCCAAAGAGGGTTTAAACCATGTTCTTCCTCAAAGAGAGCTGCTAATGTAAGTATTTTCCAAATATTTCAAATTAGTTCTTAACTGCGTCTAGGTTTGCAAGACTTCTAGCCACCCCACCCTTGCATTGTCCATTTGTATTTCCATGCTCAGCTTCTTCCCAAAGTCTGTTGAGTGAACCATTAGTACGATAAGGTAGGATATGGGTACTTTAGTAACTAGCATGGTATGGAACTTGAGCTTTGACCCAAGCCAAATGCAAAATAAGGATAGGTGCGCAAGTGGGAGTTAAAATTATACCTTAAGTTGGTCAATCATACCTAACCTATCCATTATCCCTATTATACATTTGATTATAACTCCCTCCCCCCTCCCCTTTAAGAATGCACACTTTGGGTTTTCACCCTAGTTTTAGTTTTAAAAGTTAGTCTCTAGGACAATTATGAAAATTTACTAAATATGATTAAACTATGAATTTAGATACAACACCATTATGTTCAAGACAATCTCATTCCATTGATATGTTAGATTAGCAAGTTTAGACACTTTCTATAAATAGCTAATAAAATCGAATAGAACCAACACATGGGGCATGATAGTGAGTCTTGGTGGATATGGTAAACTATCATTTAGCAAATATTAAGGGACCCAACACTAGTAAATAAATGAGTTTTTCTAACTAGGTCAAATATGCTTGATTAATAGCATTTAGGACTCTTTCTTTCCTCACCCAAGTCCTCACTAAAGGCACCTACATTTGCAACATAGCTTATGGTGGTCTTGGACAGTGATGACGGTTTTGGGCTAGAAGATCTTACAAAGAGACCACCACCTTTTGGCAACAAGGACTGCCAAATACCACTCCCGCTAGCAAAAATGTTTTACTCAATAACAACTTTAGTGTAAGTGGTCTAGTTATGGAGCATGTGCTCAATGTATAATATTGTTGATTCATGTGGTTTTGAGTTGAAGCAAAGTGCATGGATAGATGCTGCCATGGCTTACAACAATGAGTTGGAGTTGGTCATGCAACCTGAGGCTATTAACAATATCATTAATTCCCAAGAAATAGGAGTTATAGAAGATGCAGCTTGCAATAGCAAATGATCTTGACCTCATGGCACATGTACATTGGCTTAAGCACAAAATTCTTGGAAACTATGGTTTGTTAACACAAGAAGATGAGGATTGCTTAGAAATCCTAGGAGACCATGAGGAGTTCAAATAGCTTAATAAGAAGTAGTTCCTCTAATGCGTCCTCAACACTAATTCCATGCCATATTGGCAAGAATGGGAGCCAGTTCTTGCAAGATTCAGACTGGATGAGCGTAGGTTCAAAGACATGTTTTGCTCAGAAGGTATAGGACCACTTCTACCTCATGCTGGACATAGCATCACGACTTCAATATTGGAGATGATTGCTACATGGATTCATGACCGAGGGTAAGCCATTACCTTTTTGCCTTCTTATGGCAAGTGGTTTACATGTTTGTAGGCTCTAGTGTCGTAGTAGAGATGAGGTTGATAAGTTGCATGAATTACATGAGGATGTGGATAGTCTATACTGCCAGTTTTCGAGGTTTTTAATAGAGAATGCAGTCTGTTCAAGATGGACCTCAAAACCTGTGCCCTTGGGATATAGGGCATTGTCAACCTATTACATGGGGCTGTCTGTGAGTCAGCAAGCATGTTGTACATAAGCCTCAACCTCTTAGGAATTCTATATGCCTATGGATGAAATCAGTTGCAATCTCAAACTTCTCCTCTAGTATTGTGTTTATGAATAAGTTCTCAACATGGTGCTTTAAGAATGCAACTTTATTGTTGTGGAGCACAAGTTTGTGATTTTTAATGGTACACTCCTCAGCCTAGCACCAAAAGCCATTATGACATGTATGTGGTTCAATGTAATCACAGACTTCACCAATTCCAAAAACATGATGAATTGATGCAGAGTTGAAGAATGCTTTACGAGATGTAAGATGAGCTTCATCCACCACAAAGACAAAAGAAAACTAAAAAACAAATTGTTGTGCTTTGAGAGTTGGTAATGGAAGCTAGAATCCTACTAATACTTGTAACACAATATTTGGTTTAGAAAGTGGAACTAATGATGGTGGCACAAGAAGGTTGCTAACTGTGACACTCATGCCTATTCATCACCATTTGCTAGAGTTGATGGTTGCAACACACTTGCTTGTTGATCATTATTTGATTCTACAATTACAATACAATGTTAGTAAAGAAGAAGAGACTAAAGAAATAGCAATAAAGGAAGTACCTACTATACAGGATCAAGAGTTTGCATAAGAAACACTAGTGGTTCTAATTTCAACAATGCTAACACCATCAACTTCAATGCATCTATAGCATCAAAGTCATCCAAGTTTATTGAGTGTAGAATACTTGGACCAAAGTGAGAGTTCATTACCTCCTTATTTAGTGGCTATTTGGCTTTGATGTTTTCAAGTGATAGAGCTAAAACCATTGCCTTGCTAGACAGCATTGCGAGATCCTTTTTTGATGCTTGTGCTCCCACTGTTCTATACATGAACTTGTGAATAGCTTATTGAAAGTAAATTTTGAATGGGCCAAAGTAGCCCACATCCAATGGTTGTAACTTATGTGATGAGTGTGCTAGTAGGAGGCTAAGATCTTTAGCTATGAGGTGTAAAGAGCAATAAAAGGTGTGATTGTCAATGATAAGAGCATACTTGTTTTCACTTGAGTAGCCACCATGTACGTGTTTCACAAAGTGGTGAAGCCATTGAGGCCACAACTCATTTAGCATCCAGACGTTTGGAGTTATTGCAAATATCACTCCCAAGTTCACAGCTAGATATCTAATTTTGCATGTGGCACTCCTCTTGGAAGATATGGAAACTAAATAATGATACTCTCTCCATATTCACAACAATTAGAATAGTGATATGTGAAATGTTGCCTGGAACAAACTCTGCATTCCACTTGTTGCTAGGACTTTGGCACATCTATTTTGACTAGCACAAACACCAATCTTGTCGACATTCCAAATGTTGCTGGCTTTGTATTTGTTCACAAGGTATGTAACTTCAAGTTGATCATAGAAGCATTGAACAACATGTTGACATAAACTCTTAGCTTGTTGTAGTTCCAAAGGCTGAGTAGTCTTGAGTTTTATATTTGGATGCTCTTCATGAACAGTCAAACACCATTTATGACCAGGATTCCAGGTGATATCTCTTCCTGATACAATGCTTGCAGTTGCATCTTTGAGCTCACTTTACATCATAGGGTAGCCAACTTCTGCTGAAACTTTCAACACAACAATAAATATCTCTTTTTCAAATGTAAAGATGGACTATGTCTCATATCCTTCCTCTTCTTAGCCACCCAAGCATTTAGTGTGGAATGAGGTATCCCAAAGTGTATAGCAGCCTTCCTCTCTAATAGCTGACCACCATGGCTTCACAAAGTTGTGCATTGGTCCATGTTCATACATTTGTCACCTTTCTAGACTTCACTTGCTTTTACTTCAGGACTGTTGGTCTACTCTTAGTTTCAGGCTGCTCTTGTTCTTCATGTTTAGATTAATCCTCATTGTTGGGAATATCTAGCTAAGAGCCATGTATATATGCTATAAGAAAGGTAAGTTTAATTGCTTTTAATTGTAATACCTTGGGACAGGTATGTTGAGTGGCAACCTTTCTCTTTACTCTTTGCTTAGCACCATTGGTACTTTGTGGCAGGGCTGTGTTCTACATGTTCAAATGAAAATAAAAACCACAATAGAATCTTCAACTATACCTCCTGGATCTTGGCTCTTGTGTGAGTAGATTGTCTAGTGACTTGTATTGTTGCTCTGAACAGCTCCTCTAGCTGCATGTATAGTTGTAAGTAAAACTATTTCTTTTACAGAGAATTTTTTTATACCTCATCCAAAAATGACAATCCAGTATGGCAACATTTCTAGCTCTCTAAGCTGCTCTTTGAATTTTGAAGCCCTCTAGTACAGGCAGGTTGTGGTACATTACTGACCATCACATGAAGTGCTACACAAGTTTCTTTTCAATTTCATGCTTGGATACACTCCTTTTTTGCAGCTTCAAGTAAGCTCTGTAAAGAAAGGTAAAGAAAAATGTCCTCTTTAAGCTTTTCTTTGAAAACTCACCTAACAACCTTCTTGGTTTTGATCAAAAAGCTAATCTTAAAGACCAAGCTTTACGAGTTCTTTTCCTATCCTAGAAGGCACTCTGATGAATAGCCTTACGGTGTGTCCGATTGGCTTGTGTCCTCGTTGACGAGATGCGTCCATTTGACGCAGCCACGCTGGCCAAAACCCTTGACTTGCATCACCTTGGGCGGTAACCTCTTGTCCAGCTTGTCCTCACCAGTCGGCTCTGAAAAGTCCCTCTTGTAAATCATTGTCCGACAGGAAGAAAGGTCCTTTCTTGCAAAAACTTCCTCTTTGGAGCCGCCACCTCCCTTGCGCTATCGTCTTCCTCCTAATGTGTAACCTTAACAGAATATACTTATTCAAAATGCCGAATATTTAAAGAGCCCTAAATGAGTTAGGGCTTAGGGCTTAGAAGAGAGGGAGAATGGGGAAGATGAGGAAGGCGGCCGCCACCGCGGCTGGGTCCGGCAAGCAGCGCTTCCAGTTCCAGGGCGGAATCCAGTTCTACAAGTCGCGGGGCCAGCACATCCTCAAGAATCCTCTCATTGTCCAGTCGATCGTGCAGAAGGCCGGGCTCAAGAGCACAGACATTGTCCTGGAGATTGGGCCCGGAACTGGAAATCTCACCGTCAAGCTGCTCGAGGTCGCTAAGAAGGTGATTGCCGTGGAGCTGGATCCCAGAATGGTGCTGGAGCTCCAGAGGCGCGTCCAAGGCACTCCCCAAGCAAATCATCTCCAGGTAGGAGAATTCTACTTCTTGGTCCGTGTCAATCGATTCTATGAGTGATATTCTTCTATGCTTGTAGATCATCCAGGGAGATGTTCTAAAGACCGAGCTTCCATACTTCGATGTGTGCGTTGCCAACATTCCCTACCAGATATCATCGCCCCTCACATTCAAGCTCCTTTCGCACAGGCCACTCTTTCGAGCAGCGGTGATTATGTTCCAGAAGGAGTTCGCGATGCGTTTAGTCGCCAAGCCCGCGGATCCACTCTACTGCCGCCTGTCCGTGAACACGCAGCTCCTCGCGCGGGTGGATCACCTCCTCAAAGTTGGCAAGAACAACTTCCGGCCGCCACCAAAGGTGGACTCCTCGGTGGTACGCATCGAGCCCCGGAATCCTTTGCCTCCAGTGAGCTTCAAGGAGTGGGATGGTCTCGTCCGGCTGTGCTTCAACCGGAAGAACAAGACGCTGGGATCGATATTTCGGCAGAAAAACGTCGTCCAGCTCGTGGAGAGGAATCGCAAGGCGGTGATGGCGGTAGCGCAGGAACAGGGAGGGGGTGGTGATATCACAATGCTGGGAGAGAATTCTCGTTCCAACGAAGAAGAAGAAGAAGAAACTGGGATGGAAGTGGAAGAAGACGGTGACAACGAGAACGAGGATGGAATGGACGTAGACGATGATGGATCGAAATGCCAGACCAAGGAGATGCTGCTAGAAATCTTGGAGAAAGGGAAATATCTGGACAAGAGATCTTCCAAGCTTACCCAGGACGACTTTCTGACGCTGCTCGCGTCCTTCAACAAGGCGGGTGTACACTTTTCATCGTGAGCGAAGCAAAAGCTTGCCGTTTTCTTTTTCTTTCGGGTCGCGCAGGAGGACAACCTGTTACAAAACAAGGATTGAAACCAAAAGAGAATGTCTTCCATGCCCTTCAAGCCGCTTGAGAACTTTCCTCGTCTCCAACAGAGAAAGTTGCTGCAAGCTCCAATTTTGCCGGATACTCCTTCCCCGTTTTTGGATCCCAGAAGACTGCTCTTTTATACCACACCATATCTCGTCGCGGTGGAGTACAGGAAATTTACACTTCCACCACTATAACCTTTAAGCTTTCTGTATCCACTCAAAAAACTAGAAAGCCATCAGTTGCCATGCGATTCACAATAATTATGTTCTTAGCGTTTGTTTTCCTGGAGCTCTTCGTGATCTTCATGCTCTTCTCCAAGTTTGGTGCTGGATCACAAACACTCACTTCTCCCTGGCACACATCACACACATAGATTCGATCCAAAAACTTGCAAAGCTATCCCACCTCGTTACTGTTAACATCCCACGTAAAGGAAAACTCGTGCAATATCTTTCAGCACATCTTCCAAAAGGTACTGCTTCAAAGCTGCAAACGAAAATCTCAGCACGAGCTAAAACAGATTCACCTCTTTCTTGTTGGATGCCGTCCTTCTCGTTTGTACTTGTTCTTCTGACTTGCCAGGGTATCAGCCGCTGGATGAGATAAAATCAGTCCCAAACTGCTCAACAGCCGGCAAGAAAAAAACAACTTGATAAGAGAGAAAACTCACCTTGTAGAAGAGTTGCGTCTCTTCAGGCTTCCGTCTCTCGTTGGCTGTGTTGCTGGTTCGATAGTTCACCTTCCTGTGCGTTTCGTTTATGCGCCTGTAAGTCGCAAGGTCCCCATTCAAGGCCCTGCCCAGACTTCTGGGGACGTTTACCCTGTGTAATGCGAGAAAACAATCTTATCAATACAAAAGAGTGTCGTGCGTCTCTAGCTAGGAAGTAGTCAAGGACTAACATTAGCTTATGCCATTTCCACTCTAATTCCTTCGGCTATGCAAGTACATAGAATCTTTCCTATCTTGGGTGACACGGCTTAATACAGTTTTATGAATGGGGGCGGGAAAATTCCAAGTGGCCATTTTTCTCTCTTACCGCTCCAGAAATCTCCTCTCGCTCCAATGGCTCGAATGGCGTTTTGCCGATCGTAGATCACACAAAAATGGAACAAAAAACAGTAACCTAGCACCAGTTTGCAGCGATTGTTTTAGGGCAAAATCGTCATATATTTGCCACCTCATATACGGAATATAGCAGAATATTCTCATTTAAATCGGCTTTCATCGCTTTGGTTTTTTTTTTGCTGCAGGAGGACAATTCTCCTGCCTTCTTACAAAACAATGGCAAAAAGGATTAAAACCAAAAGAGAATGTCTCTCTCTCTCTTCGATCATCTTTCAGTAGACTTCGACGTGCCACTGCTTCTTCTTCTTGAGCATCGACAGCTTCTCTTCCCAAGACTCTCCTCGCTCCTCGGCGACTCTCTTGAGCGTGTCCTGGATGCCCGGCATCATCCCCTTCAAGCCGCAGAAGTATATGTGCGCTCCCTCGTCCAAAAGCTTGAAAACTTCCTCACTGTACTCCTCGATCTTGTCCTGGACGTACATCTTCCCGCCCCGCTTGTTGTTCTGCTCTCGGCTCAACGCGATGTCGTATCTAAAGTTGTCCGGGTACTCCTTGAGATAGCCTTCGAACTCGTCGTGGTAGAGGAGGCTGTCACGGTTGGCAACGCCCAGGAAGAGCCACGCCAAGCCGCCGAACTTGAAGCTCACGTCCTCCATGAACATCCTTCGCAAGTAGCCCCTGAATGGTGCGATACCAGTGCCTGTGGCGATCATAATGTGTGCTGCCTTGGGGTTGCTTTCTGGTAGTAGCATGATCTTCCCCGAAGGCCCTGTGGACACTGGATGTGAGAGAAGAAACTAGACAAAAACTGTATAGGAAAAGCTTGCCTGTGATCTGGACCTTGTCTCCGGGTTTTCTGTCACAGAGAAAGTTGCTGCAAACTCCCTTTCTTGCAGGATCTTCCTTCCCCGTCTCTGGATCCCAGTAGACTGCTCTTCTCACGCAAAGGCTCGCTGTTTTACCATCGAAGTCGTCACCATATCTCGTCGACGCGATGGAGTACAAACGCACGGCATGAGGAGTTCCAGGCTTCTTGGGATTCTCACCCTGAGTAGTCATCAAGCTCAGAACAAGAACAAAAAAAAAAAAGAGCTGGATAGCGAACAGGAGAGAAAAGAGAACTGGAACTTACCGGAGGAATGACACCGTAACTCTGGCCTTCCCAGTAAGGAACGTTTCCACCGTGATCGATCACAATGTGACAGGTCTCGCCAGGAGCTTTGTCGCCAACAATCCTCTCCACTGACTTGATGGTCGCGGTGTATGGAGTTTTGGGCTTGAATATGTTCAATGGAGGGTCGCTGGCGGTGTCAAGATCTGGAGCAGCGGTAGTAGCAACCTTGGCATTCACTCGAAAGAAAACTCTCCTCGCAGCTTTCCTGGATTCACCAAAGTATGCCGCAGCATGAAGATCCAGAGAGAATCCTTGAGCCGCGGGAGGCATCTGTTCGAGAACAAGCAAAGGGAAAAGATTTCTATAGCGCTCATCATGCCCGATGGATTGATTTCTCACCTTGACGCTGACGCATGGCGACGAAGAGCGCAAATTGGCCCCATGAGCAGGCGCTAGCACGGTCCCCTAGAGAATCATCGATCGTGAGAAATTTTCGAGAGATTTCGAGAGAGAATCGATGGATACCTGGAAACAATGCCCCACTGCATGCAGCGCCATGAGATCGATCGCCTGGAGAGGAGAGTGGACCTCAGCTACAGCGCAATGCGGCCAGGAAAACGAGGAAATACCTGCGATCGATCGAATCGATGGGTCAAGAAGAGCTGCTTGGCCTCCCGGGGCGCTTAAAAAGCGCAGCCAACGACCTTTCTCTGCGCGCTAGGGATTCTTCTCTCTCGCTGACCATTGGCCATAGCCAAGGGATCTCTTATTTAAGCCCTGGAATATTTCTTAGTATTTTCACTTGACCCTTCTCACATTAAAGAAAAAATCTAGCTTCACCTAAACATCCTCGCTCTCGCTTGATTTTTCTGGAACAACGCGATCAATCGCAAGGATCACTGGAGTAGAGAAAGATTTTCTGGAAGAACATCCAAACTTTGGATCGATCCCAAGAGTAGAAAAAAGAATGAGAGAAGAGAAAAACAGTACCTTGACGAAGATGATCCAAGGAACTCTAGAGCTATGGTTTCCGCCTAGCCACGACTCTCTCACGCTTCGTCCACATTCTTTCCTCCTCGTTTAAAGTTCTCCTGGTACCGTCGGGCTCCGTCACACTCCGGATTCCACCACTTCTTCCCCTCTTGGATTCCAGGCCCAGATCTTCGACCATGTAGCTCCAGCCATCGATCGGCCTCCTCCGGCTCATGATGTGAGTCTTGACGAAGCCATAAATCTGCCATCCATCCAGTGTTGAGTGTTACTACACGAAAAAAAGAATGGAAGCTAGAAGAGAACTGGTATCTTGCCTGCTTTTTGTTAAACTCCATCCTCCGTTCGAATTCTTCCACCAGAATTCGCTCCTCCTTCTCGGATTGTTCTCTCAATGCCTGGTCTTGGGACTTGCCTTCCCAGCCGTCGGGACCAATCTCGATGTCCGTCGTGTGCCTCTCGCCTTTCTGTGCCTTCTGCACAGTCCTGAAAGATGAAGGACGTTCATCAGCCAGAAAGTAAAAGCAATGAAGAACAAAGTTCTAGACTCCTAGATGGGCCGTAGAACAAAACTGGAAGTCTCTCTCGATGCGATCAGGAAGGCGACCACTGAAGTTCTAGACTTCTAGATGGATGAGATTTACGAGGAAACGAATGAGAGATGCGTTGACACAAACGAAAGAGAAGAAAAAGGACTTACTCACAGGCCTGAAAAATTCAAGGACGTTCATCAATGAGCAACGAAGAACAAAGTTCTAGACTCCTAGATGGAACCTAGAACAAAAACTCGAAGACTCTCACAATGCCATCAGGAATAAGATCACTGAAGTTCTAGACGAGGAAAAATGAGAGAATAAAAAACACACATTGAAGAGAAGAAAAAGGAAGAGAAGGCTCTCTCGATGCGATCAGAATGGAGATCACTGATGTTCTAAACTCCTAGATGGATGAGATGGAAAAGAAGGAGAGAATGTAGAACAAGCATTGCCACAAACGAAAGAGAAGAAAAAGGAAGAGAGGAAGAACACTTACCCATACATGTTCTCGTAGAACTTCTCCACGCTATCATCCAGAGGATGGCCAAGCCTCGCCTCCTCTTCCTTCTCGAGCTCCTTGAGCCAGAGAATGGCATGAACGCGCTGCTTCCGGATGCGATACTCGGCCGCGAGCTTGTCCACCGAATTCACCTCTGGATTCTCCTTGTGCATCTGATACATCTTCTCCTTGCTTGCATCCGATAGCAGGCATGCCGTGTAATCGGGCTCGGGCTTCCCAAACGTGTAGACCGAATTGCCCGCGCCCTCTGCCTCGCCCCAGCGCTTCATCCTCTTGTCCCACGCCTTCTTGTGGAATTCCACGTCCCTGTAGTATGGAATCTTGCGCCCCTTGCCCTCTTTTCCCTCTCCTTCTCCTCCTTCCTCCTCATCGCCAGATTTCTCACCAGATTTCTCCCCGGAATCGCTCGATGTGCTCTCCCACGCCACCGCCGACGCGCCCGATCGCCAGGGCGTCGGCAATGCAGATGATCTCGCGCTGCTGGCGATGCGGCTCCTCCACTGGGCAACGCTCCTCATCCAAGAACCCTAATAATTCAGCCCCAGCGATCCTGACCGTCGATATTGGAGTTTAGCGATGACAACCTAAAAGTAGAGGTGCTTGCGTTCTAGGGCAAGAGATTCTCGCGACAGGCGGTCGTCTCGCTTGCGCGCCATCAGCTCCGGCGCCGTCGATCCATCTCCGTGCTCTCCAGATCTTGCCGCCATGGCGGGCGCCATTGCTAACAGCAATCTCCCGCGGCGCATCATCAAGGTCAGTAGTAGCTCCGATAATTTCCCGTGAGAGCTCATGTTTCGTTTGATCCGCAGGAAACTCAGCGATTACTGACCGAGCCAGGTGAGATCGATTGCGTCGGGACATTTCGTATTCCATTCCTAGAATGTCTAAATGTTTTTCTTTGTGGTTTTGTGCTTCTCTTCCAGCTGAAGGTATCAGCGCTTCTCCTGCCGAAGATAATTTGCGATACTTCAGTGTGATGATCCTTGGCCCCGCTCAGTCACCGTATGAAGGCAAGATTTCATTTTTACTTTGTTCTTCCTCTGAGCTACTGTGTTTCTTCTCAGGTGGCGCGTTCAGGCTGGAGCTCTTTCTTCCGGAGGAATACCCGATGGCTGCCCCAAAGGTACGAAGGTTGTCCTCGCTGGTTTATTTCTTACTGACTTGAGGTCTCACTGTTTTGACAAGAACTGCAATAGGTTCGCTTCTTGACGAAAATCTACCACCCGAACATCGACAAGGTGGGACTCACTGCTACGCTTGCGTTTGTTCTTAACACTGTCTTTGCAGCTGGGCCGGATCTGTTTAGACATTTTGAAAGACAAATGGAGCCCCGCTCTTCAGATTCGCACTGTGCTCTTGAGGTGACTGAATCACTTGCCGTTGTTATTATGCTTAGGCTCCTTGCTCTGTGTCTGACAGTATTCAAGCTCTTTTGAGTGCTCCAAATCCTGAGGATCCCCTGGACGAGAACATCGCCAAGCACTGGAAGACAGACCAAGGAGGAGCAATCGCAACTGGTGAGACAAGAATCCTCTTTTGGTGTTAGAATTTGATAGATGCATTGGTACTTTCCTCTGCAGCAAGAGAGTGGACCCAACTCTACGCTACCTCCAATTAAATCAATGGCTCGGAAAGTCCCCGTTCGTTCGTCTAGTTTTTTCTGCTTTGGTTCTTTGTAAAAATAGTGTAAACACTAGCTACAAACCTGATGCTCGAATGTCGTATTTGTAGGGAAATAACAATAACATTTCTTTTTCTATGAAACTTGAGTATATGCTACTTAGTTTTGTATATTCTATTCATATAGGATTAAAGGTTGTCTAATGCTATTATTTATTATTTAATGTTTTAATTAATTCTATCATATATTGACTTTATTTCTTTAATAGTTTATATTAATTTTGTTGTATTACCTATGTATCTATAATGTTCACATATATATGACGATAATTTTTATAAATTTATATCAAATAGACATTATGATGGACTTTTAATCAGATTTGAGTATTTTAATTTTTTTGTAAAATAATTATTCTTTAATTTCTTTTTTTTTATTTTCTTTTTATTTTACTTCTCAAATTTTCCTTCTACTGAAGAAAACATAAATCTTAACCACTATTGAAATTTGATAGTTATTATTTCTTTTGGTTTTTCAACATATTAAAATACATATTTATAATTTTTTTACAAATTATTAAAGCTACATCTAGTTTATAGATTATTGTCCTCATGAAACTCATTAATTGCAATATTTGCTAATACAAGACATCGCCATCATAGCCCACTAGAATGTTTGTTGGTTTTATGTTGTTGTGATTGTATTTTTTCCTTATATATTATTATTTATCAAGTTATATATTTTAAACTACTTTAATAAATTTAAAGAGTTTATAATACCTTTCTTTATAGATTGATAATTTTTTTTTTTTTGTAAGAGCATGGTGGGCTTTTGTCATAACTAATATCATTATGGGTAACTTGAGATCTTTATAATTGAAGATGAGATTTAAAACTTAGAAAACTTTCTAAACAACACATAATCATTTGTGTTATCCTAGATTTTATTACTTATGAAATAACATAAAATAAAGGTATCTTACCCAAAAAAATTTACTAATAGTTCATTGCAAAAATATGAGAAAAATAAATTAGTTTTAATTTTCTTAAAATATAATATAACAATGTGAATGCATGGAATACAAAATTATGTTTGATCATACATGTTCAATGTTTAAGAAAATATATATAACTAATTATTTTAAAATGCTATAAATTTTGTAAAGTAATTCATTTTTATGATTTTTTATTATAAGTATATTTATAGAAAATCTTTAATTTTCAAGTTATATTATATTATATTTTTATATATTACTAAAAATTTTATAATACTTTTTTCCTCTCATATTCACTTACAACTTTCAAAGAATTTAGCATGAGTAAATTCATACACTAATACTTCAAGTTTCATTATCTAGTATTTAATTTATATATTTTTATCTTTATTTTTTTTAAGTAGCAAGGAATGTCAAGTTTCACTTTGTGAATGAGTAAAAGAATTAGGTCCAATTCATGGAGAAATACAAGATCCTCAAGTTGAATGATTACTTTGAAATAATCTAGTAAAATAAAGGGAAAAAAACAACAAAAATTGAATGATATTAAATAATATTAATTATAAATAGAGGATGATAATAATTATATATATATAAATAATATTAAAATCTAATAATTAATATAATAAATTTAGAAGAGAAATTATATAGTATTTTTGTTTTGAGAAAATGATAAAACAATAGATTTAGATGTGATGAAGAAAATAAATTTAGTTATTTTAATTTTAAAAAGTTCTGATGTTTTATAGTTTTAAAGTTATATATAAGAGATTTATTTATGTTTTCTTGATTACAATTAGAAGTTGTGATGTTATTACTTATGATAATTATATATTACTTGGTGGTCTTAGGTTTAAATCTTCAACTTTACTGAATTTCACCCCTTGACTCTACCTGGTACAAATAAGTTTATGATGTTGTTCATTGTTCAATAATAAATATCCCAACATAGCTTCATGTCAACACAATTCAGGTTGGGAAAGCATCAGATGCTAATGGCATAACTGCACTGCTCAGGGCAACAAAATTGCAATGGCTAGCAAAAGTTGTCACACCAATCCAAACCAGTTAATCAGATTGTGCCACAGGTGATGTAATGCAACCATCAGATTGAGAACTTTTGTTCTCAATAGCAGTATCAGGAATCTTTACTAAAGTGCAAACAAATGGAGATATATCCATGCAGAAGGACAAGCAGGCTTTCACAAGCATTATGCCGGCGTTGACACATCCTGACATTACGAATGCTGCTAGAACAAGCACGAGACAAGCATCACAAGTCATATTTTGTGGCTTCGTTGATTTTGCAAAGGCATTTGACATGGTGTCTAGACGTGCTGATCATTCAGCTTTTGGAAATAGATGCCCCAAGACAGCTTATAGCCATCATCATTGAGATTTATAGATTGGTGAAGCTAGAAATCTTTAGTGGCAACCCCATTCCATCCACCATGGGTGTTTGACAAGGATGTCCATTTCACCTCCGTTGCTTGCAATATACATTGGAGCATTGGAAGTAACATGGACAGAAGGTGTCAAAGACTGCATGAAATGGCATATCATACCTTCCAGTCAGATTGCCACAACAATGTAGTCACAGATTGGAAGACAAAGCATACAGACCGTGAGGGAGATGGAGAGGATCTGTGATGAATATGAAGTCAATCAACTAGCTAATTCACATACAATAGCTCAGTAAACACAATCTTATAACCTTTGCACAGATAAATGCCTTTTGGGAAGCCATTAAGAATCCACATTGTGTCATTTGAGAGAAGGTGTTTACATTACCAACACAACTTCGACGTGGCCTGATAAGCTCACAATGTGGAATCCTGTATTATTACTTAAAAGTGATTACAATTCATACACCAAAGAGATGCCTTCATGATTGTCAAAGGCACTTCAAGGGTACGAATCAATGACAAGGTCACAGCAGCGTGAACCAAGGGGCTCCACGGCTGTTTGTTTTTCTGGAAGACCCGACCTAATCGACATCCATGATAGCTGCGATACACTTTCCACATTAATACAGTTTGAATTCATGAGTACATATGTAATAGTGGAAAGGAAAGATATCACAGATATACGGCGATCACCCACACACAGACATGAAAAGATCGATGGATGATGATAGATAGCTCGCAACTCTCATTATCTCGGCGATGGAGAGGCCTCTCCAAACCATGGCAGGCAGGCGATCATTAAAATATGTGGGCCACCAAACCATACAAACCAAGAGCTATTCTTTCATGACCGAAAGAATCCCCGATTTCACGTGGTTGTTGCATGGTCCAAGGGAGTTTTCTCTCCCCACGCAAAGCTTAGTTTTGTCGCCATTCCCCCATCCGAGCTGTCACCAGGTGTACGGTGACGTGGACGTGACGTGGCATATGTTAAAACATAACACGCCAGCCTGTGATCATTGACTCAAAAACACAATACGGCCGTCGCTGTCCGTCAATAGCCGCCAGCCTCGTGGCAGCTTAGATGGCGTAGCTAGATTTGGCTTTGGTAAAAAATGTAGAAAGAAACTCTTTTACTTTTTTCACTTTTTTACTTTTTTTTTATAAAATTTGTGAGGAAAAATACAGTGTAACGTCGTGTGTGAAGCCAAACTACATCAAACGCCGCTGTTGTTGAAATGTGAATATTCTTTTCTTTGATCGTTGTTGTTTGAGACAGAAAGGATCACATTCATTCACGCTTGTTCCCGCCACCCATGACACCCCCAAATAAAAATTTAATCTAGCAAAAGACACGTTGATGTTGAACCTTCAACAACCATACAGGAAATCGATTGATCCAATATCATTACGTTTCCAATTCCAATGGTTTTGATATGATTTAGGGCTGATTGATTCGCAGGTTTCCATCATAAGCCGTGATAAAAGGCTCATTTAAATTGGCAGCGTTTTTAACCGCCGGCCGGCGCCGTGCTGCCGCCAGGTAAGGC